TACAGCCTTATCCGAAATATTTTTCTTAGATTGCTTCGGGTGGACAGTTACTCCAATCATTTCATCTTTTAATTCACAATTTAAACACTCGAGTAGATTTAGAAACATCGATATCGTCGGGCGCCATTTTCTTAACGAAGTAAACCAACTCTTTCCTTCGTGAACTTCGTTAGAGTTTCGTTCGAAACGTCATCACCGCATAGCATGCGCACTGAGCGAGACTACTACTTTTCGAACGATTCGTTACTAACGCGTTTAACTCGTTCGACTTAACGAACGTACCCATAGAGTCTAAGTATAAAGTAATTTAGTATTTGTATTCGTTTTTAACCTTTTATGTAGGATTATCTTCAATAAAATGTAATTCTATTCAATTTTATATGATATGTCGATAAACTTTAAAATTCCAGTAATTTTGTGTGGGATAGAAGTCAATGCTGATGTTTGCAGACAAAGCACAAAAATGTACAGAACGATCTTGCTCGTTTTTCTCGATAATACCACATAAAATGACGTGTCCTGCTAGTAATACTTGTTCTCCTTCTATAAAATTTCTCGATGAAATGCTACAAGTAGCATATTTCATTTTATCAGATAGTACTATATAATTCATTTTACATTGGCGACTAACAAACGACCCAGATAGAGTAGCCATTTTGTAAAAATACAGCGCCCTCTATAGTTCATGAAAAACGCGAATAGTATTTCATTAATAACATCCAGGAAAATCCTGTAGTTTGTAGATGGGGAACGATAGACTATTACCATCATCAAATTACCTATAACTCAGAAGATAATAAAGACTCAGAAAATACCATTCGTTGGTAAAACTCAAATCCAGGATCAACTCCAGTGTTAAACATCCGACTGTGTTAAAGCTCTTCGGCAAGCATCAAATTTAAACAATTTGCTTGTGATTGCTGAGACAGTTATGTCTAAGCCTGAGGTGTGAACCTGTGGCCTTTTGAAGCGTGATATAAGGCCTTCTGTGGCCTTCTTAAGCAAGTTTTCATATTGTTACTGTGTATATTGAAGTGTGTTACTGTGAAAGACCGAAATTAGAGAATGTCGATATTCTCCGGTAAATGTCGACACATACAAAATACATCAGTGAAAGACCGAATATTTGGTTATATTCATATATATCTCTTTCGTAATAATCCTGAATAAAATTACAGCGGAAATTTGTAACTAATAGAGCCTCTTTTAGCAAGGCCTTTATGGGTTCGGCCAGGCTCAGAATGGGGCGGCCGGGTAGTGAGGGACAGGGGCCTACATATCCGGTTGGATCACCCCCGAAAGTTCATGGGGATTTTTCGACTCGCGCAGAATCTCGGGTTTCTCAGAAAGGTAGGCTGCCGCCCCGACCACGGCCGTTTAATATCGCGTATGGCGACCCTTAACCGAAAAAAGTAAAAAAAAAAAAATCTCGAGGAAAAATGTGTGTGTGCTTGTTTGTTTCGTTTAATATTTCAAGCTAGAATAAAGGTTAACAAACAAAATTTGTCATGATAACTAGTATGTAAGGAACATTTATATTATTAAATTTTGGAGGTAGGAGGTAAAAGGGGTCATTATTCATATGTTGAATGAGGTAGGACTAAATGAAGATTATACTCGTTGTTGTCATTTGCAATATTTTAAAAAGTCATCTCTACCCTCAAAATTTTGCCTTTTTTTCCTTTCTATGATAATTAATAATATAAAAGTTATTTTTTAATGTTATTACATCCCATAACAGATGGCGCCACACACAATTTTTCTAATGTGAGGATAGTTAATAATATTATTATTTTTTTCTTTTAATTTAAATATTTTTTAAATGGATCATTTTACCATAATTCAATAAATTACTTCTTCTTTTAAGGTTTAAATTTTAAACTGAAATCGTATATCGCAATATAACTAAACATTATTGGACTTCCTAATTCTCCTCTTAAAAAAAAAAAAAAAAAAAAAAAAAAGTTTTATCTGTTAATGGTGAGGGATGGTCTTTTTTTACTTACGTTATAGAGCAATTTTTAAGAAAAAGATGGGGTAATCTACGTGATCGATACCGAAAAGTAGTGAAAGAAAGGCAACATCCCAACGATCCTACAGCCTGTAAGAAGAAAGTTTGGAAATACAGTAAAATTCTGACGTTTCTAACGTCGTCACTTAACCACGAAAACCTCAAGTATGATCTATATAATAATATGTGCCATTTGTTTTCTAAATATCCGTGCTTGTATGCCACCTAACCGTTCGATTTCCTGCTTTCCCACTTCTTTTTTTTTTAGCAATGATATAAATACACCGGAACCCGTAG